TTAATAAATAAATAAATCTTTAAAAAAGAGAAGATTTTAAAAAAGTTACATTAAAAAAAAGTAATTACAGGCTGGAGAGATGGCTCAGTGTTTAAGAGTATTTCTGGCTCTTTTGAAGGATTCAGATTGGATTCCAGGCACCCATGTCAGATGGCTCACAACTACCTGTGTGTTTGCCTCTTGGGGATCAATCTCTCTTCTGGCCTCTGTGAAACCATGCAGACATGTGGCTTAAACACACAGACAGACATATACACATAAAAAACCAACAACTTTTAAGTTACAAAAAAAAATCACAAATTCACCTTCATGTAGGAACTGGTGCTAAAATTAATGTCGAGGAGGCCTTTTCCTGCACCACTGGATTCTTAGACAAGCAGAGCCTGAGGGAGGACTTGGACAGTTCTCCACATGAGTCTGGGCATAGCACTGGGCAAAGGCTGGTCAGTGGAGAGCATGCTGTGTGCCCCCAACACATCTTTGGGGGAGCAATTACAGGGCTAACTGCAATTAAGGGAGAAAGGAAACAGGTTTACCTCATAGAAATGAGATCTTTAATAACAAATGGCAACTTACCTTAACATTTGGAAACTTCTATTTTGAGCTGCTTCTTTTTCAGCTGGCTGGGGGAAAGAAGAGGATATAGATGAGACATTAGGGCCTTTGTGGAGCTTAAAAGTAGATTTCAGGGTGTGGAGAGATGGATAAGTAAGAACACATGTTCCTCTTGCAGAGGACTGAGGTTTGATCCCCAGCACCCACATGGCAGCGTACAACTGTCTAACTCTAGTCCCTGGGTTCAGTGCACTTTTCTGACCTCTGTGGGTATCAGCTGCCTGGACCACAGGTGACCTTACTTCAAAAGAGTTCTCTAGAGTAATAGAACTGATAGAATATATATATGTAAAATTCTATATATTAAATATAGAATATATATTTATATATATAAAATCACACAGCCATGCACATTAGTATTTATTAGCATAGATTCCAGGCTGTGGTCCAGCTAGTCCAACAATGGCTGTCTATTAGTGGAAAGTTCAAGAATATTGAATTTCCACTAATTGTTCAGACCACAAGGCTGGATGCCTCAGCTGGTCTTTTGGAATCCTAAAGAAATAGTCTCTAGGACCAGTGAAAGAATGACAGGGGCATTTGTTCAACTATGTTCATAGCAGCATTATTTGTAATAGCCAGAACCTGGAAACAACCTAGATGTCCTTCAATGGAAGAATGGATGAAGAAAGTGTGGAATATATACACATTAGAATACTACTCAGCGGTAAAAAAACAATGACTTCTCGAATTTTGCGTGCAAATGGATGGAAATAGAAAACACTATCCTGGGGGCTGGAGAGATGGCTCAGAGGTTAAGAGCACTGACTGCTCTGCCAAAGGTCCTGAGTTCAATTCCTAGCAACCACATGGTGGCTCACAACCATCTGTAATGAGGTCTGGTGCCCTCTTCTG